GAATGAAGGTCTTTTTCTATAAGAAAGATATTATAATGACATTTTGTTCATAGTGGAAAGGAGGAATGAAAGGGGTATGATTGATGTGGGGAAGGAGTAGCTGGGGCAGCAGAGGGATAGTTTCAGGTTGTAGGTTAGTGGTGGTGATTTTTAATGATGGAGGCTGAATTTTGAATGTTATTTTATATTTCTATAACAGTTTCATCCCTTTAATCCAATCACACCCAAGCATCCTACTTTTATCACCTCTCCGTCACTGAAGGACCGGATTCACTGTGTGGCTTATGTCTTAGACATCAACTCTATTAAGAGTCTCTCCTCTGAAATGGTAGCAAAGCTCAAACAAATTCATGAAGAAGTATTAAAATGTGGTGAGTCTCATCATATCAAAAATTTTTAATTTTGGAATAACTTATATGTCCAGAAATTTGCAAAGAGAGTACAGAGAGGCTCCATGCACCCTTTACCCAATTTCCTGAGCCCTGGGTTTGGTGGCAATAGTACGTAGAGCTCATTCAAAGGCTTGACCTAAAGAAAGCCTTAAATATATAAATTTTAAGAACTTAAAGACTACATTGGCTATAGTTGTTTCTGATGTTATTTTCCTGTGGCTTAATTGGGGGTCACCTTCGCAGGCTATGTGATTATAGATATGGAAGATCTAAAATAGGAAACTGACATTATTACAATGTACATGCATGGTTCTATGTTATTTTATCACATGTAGATTCATGTAATTGTCACTACAATCAGAATACAGAATTATTCCATCACAATAAAGACTTCCCTCAGCTGGGTACCATGGATATGCATGTAATCCAAGTGTTTGGGAGGCTGAGGCAGGGGGATTGTGAGTACAAAGCCAGCCCCAGCAACTTAGTGAAGCCCTAAATAACTTGATAAGACCCTGTCTCTAAATAAAAAATGGGGGGTGTGTGGCTCAGTGGTTAAGAACATCTGGGTTCAATCTCTGATAACCAAAACAAACAAACATTTCCCTCATGATACTATCTATTTCTTCACCATGCTTAACTATTAACAACCACTACTATCTTTTGCAATTTGAGATTGTTGTGTAAATGAAATCATATTGTAAGGGTCCGGCGAAACGTCGGAGTAAGAGACCACAAGAGACTGTTTTATGTAAAAGCAGAAGGGTGGGTTTATTTGGAGACCAGCATGCTGGGGCCCGAGCTCTCTATAGCAAAGAGAGATAGAGCCCTGAGAACAGCTTGAGCAGAGCTTATATACTTTCCCTAAGAAACAACCACTACTATCTTTTGCAATTTGAGACTGTTGTGTAAATGAAATCATATATTCTGTCAGCCTTTTTGACTAGGCTTAATATTCTTTGAAGTCCATCCAAGATGTTGCATGCATTTATTGTTCACTCTTTTTATTGTTGACTAATATTTCATTGTATAGATATACCAATTATTTAACCCTTATCTATCAAAAGATATTTTGATGGCTTCCAGTTTTAGTTTTTGCAAATATAAGTTCTATAAATATTAGCATACATTTTTTTTTGTAGATACATATTTTCATTTATCTGGCATGGATCCCTGAGGGTATTATTGCTGAGTAAAATATAGTAAGTGTATATTTAGATTTTTAAAAATTTACCAAGTTACTCTCAGGTAAAACTGTACCAATATATATTCCCACTATTATTGTAATAGTATTATTTGCATTTTTCTAATATTTTATATTATTTCTAATTTTAAAACAATGTTAACTCTTTTAATAGGTATATAGTAATATCTCATTATAATTTGTCTAGTGACATCAAATGCCTTTTTATATGCTTATTTCTTTTGTATTTCTTCTTCAGTAAAGTATCTTTTCATGGCTTTTACTTATTTTTAGGTTGAACTATTTATTGAGTTTTGTTTTTGTTTTTCTTACTGTTGAGTTTGAAGAGATCTCTAAGTTCTAGATATGAGTCCACTGTCAGATATATGGTTTGCAAATAATTTCTCCCAGCCAATTTTTCTTTCCATTATCATTATTTTTAGCTGTTCCATCTCTCTTCTTCGGGGACTCTGAAAACATGAATTCTAGATCCTTTTTCATAATCCTACTGTGTATTTATTTATTTGTTTCTATTGGCTATTTTTTAGAGTGGGTAACTTCTATTAATATATCTTTATAGCCTCTGATTTTTTGTATTCTCTATTCTGCTTTTGACCATATCCAGTGTGTTTTCTCATTTTGGGTTATATATTATTTTATGTCTATAATTTTCATTGTGTTCTTTTCCATATATTTTATTTCTTTGTTAAGACTTTCTATTTTTCACTTGTTTCAAGTGCATTCCTATTTGATTGTTAAGTGTGTCTATAACTGTGCTTTAACGTTCTAGCCAAATAATTCAAAAATATTTTTCATCTGATTAGGTATCAGGATCTTCTGATTAGTTTTTCTCATTCAAGTGGAAATTTTCCTGGTTTATGATGTGAGAAATAATTCTTAATTATATCTTGGATACTTCAGAAATTATGTTACAGGGCTCTGGATCTTACTTAGACCTTGTGTTTTAGCAGACCCTCTTAACACCAGTGAAGTGGGGAAAACCCGTGAGGCCTTTGGGAGGCAGGGCACTTTGTTACTTCTTCTTATATGACCTTCATCACAGAAGCTTGTCACTTGGCCTCCCCCAACACTGCCAGAGAAAGAGAGGAGGATGACTCATTATTGCTAGTGTGGTAGATGTCCAAAATCCCCAGTAGCCTCTGTTGAGATCACTAAGGTAACCGGTTGCATGGGGTAGGGCTGAAGTTATTTCTGTAGTACTTAGCTGGAGTAGTGTGGCCATTGTAAGAAAGTTCTCATCTTGCTAGGTTGCCCTTTTTTAAAGCTCTGGCTAGAGAGATCAGATTCTTTTTTTTTCTTTTTTTTTTTTCCAGTTCTAGTTGACCTTTCCTGGTTGTGGGTTTCTCCAGCAGGGAATTTGGGATGTATGTGTTGAAAAGAAAACCTACGAAAGCCACCTCTGGAATGTTTCTTTGTTCCCAACCTTTCTAGCCGTTGTGTCTTCTCTCCACCTTTCAGTTTCTGTTGTTGATTTATGTATAATGCCCAGAATTTTTTGGCTGCATTTAATGGAAAGAATTTGCTAACTTTGCTAGTTATTGACCTGGGACTTACATAAAGAGACTAAAGTGAAGACAGTCATTTTAGTAATAGGAATTAGAAATACAAGATTTCTAAAAGCTCTGGTAAAGGAGTCTTAGGACATCCTGAGATTTGATTGATATTGGGAAACCTTAATTTTATTCTTTTTTCCTTGGAAGCAGTTGCTAGCAAAACAGAACTTTGGTAAGTTTAGAAGCCAAGTATGAATTATTTCTCCAGTCTCTGGTTTGAGGCAGAATGTAGTGGCTTCTTACTGGAGCTGTGATATCAAGGTATTTGCGTTGGTATATGCTCACAGTGTTCCTCACTTTCTCTCTCTCTCTCTCTCTCTCTCTCTCTCTCTCTCTCTCTTTTTGTTTATTTGTTTGTTTGTTTGTTTTTTAGTTCTCCGAGTACAGCAAGCACTATTACTCCTGTGACAACTTTAGAACACAGTTTGAATGGGAGAGTAGATTTTTGCAATTATTGCAAATGTAGTTGTATTTAAAAGGAACATATTCTATATACAGAGTTAAGAAAAATTGTGCTGTGAATGGATAATTATGAATGTAATGCACTCCACTATTGTCATGTATGTAAGAAAATTTTTTTAAAAAGGTGGATCTTTCATGTTGGAAGAAAAAGCATTTATCCTTGAGAAGAAATTCAGGCTCCATAGTGAGATTTACTGGGACTATTTCATTCTCCAGTTCTTAAAATTACCTTACATAGAGTGGCTTTCACACAATTTAATTACTTGTTTGACATATTGCTGTCTGTGATATAAAATAACAGATTTATCTGTTTGATACAGGTGTAGCACATGTAGCCTTACTTACTAAAGTGAATGATTGTGATGAAGTTCTTCAAGACAACTTTCTAAACATGTCAAAAAAGATGACTTCTTGGAACCAGGTGAAGAATGTTGTTTGTAATTGGATATTATAGTAATAGTATCAGAATCATACTCTGTGTGTGTGTATGTGTGTTTGTTTGTTTGTGTGTGTGTGTGTGTGTGTGTGTATGTGTGTTCACACAACGTATCCAAAGGCAAAGGATTGGAATCAATTGCTTGGCTTATTCAACTTTATACTTTTTTAAAACAATAATTTTCTGAATTATAATTACATTCTGAAGAGAATTTATCAAGCTATGGCTTTTTCAGTTTCTTGGATATTATTTAAAATACAGTCAAATTTCAAATATGACATGCTTTTTAAATACGTTTTTCCACAGGTAATGTTAATCAACCAAATGCTCGGCATTCCTCTTTCTAATATCTTGATGGTTAGAAATTATGATTCAGAGCGGGAGCTGGACCCTATGAAGGATGTTCTGATCCTCTCTGCACTGAGGCAGATGCTGCGGGCTGCAGACGACTTCTTGGAGGACTTGCCTCTTGAGGAAACTGGTAAGCTGGGCTCTTTCTGTTCCTCTTGTAAGGCACTGGTGTTTTTTGAAAAACTTTAAGTTATACTTCAGTTGCGTGGATGGGGCCTGTCTGACTAGTCCTGACAGTTGTGTTTGAAGAGATGCTTCATTTCTGCTCCTTTGTTTTCTTTTCAGATGAAAGTTCATAATTGTTTAAATTCTCCCAGTGAAATTAGCTGCCTGGATTCTGACTCTTGGCACAACTCTAGACTGGGATGCCCCAGTCCATCTGTTCATGACCTTCTTCACATCTGCTGTTGCTCCTGATTTGCCTTCTGCCCTAGACAACATCTAACTGATGGCTGATAGGATCAGTCACTCCTCAGACCAACCCAAAGGTCGATCCTTGAGAAGTGGTGTCCCAAGATATGTCCTGCCACAAACCTACTCTCCATGTTTCTGAACCATTTACAATTTAGTATCTGTGACACTTTTCTCACCCTTCTCAGGCAAAATCCTTACTTACTCATCTACAGCACTTTATGCAACTATATGAGTTCTGATCACATTGAATACTGATTATAAAGTGATTAGATAGATATCTACTTTTCTATATATATTGTGAGTTCTTTGAGAAACAGGGTTTGGGTTTTGTCTCTTTGTATTCACAGAGCTTAGCATAGTACCTGATAATACACAAGCATACCCGTGATAACTCTTCTCTCCTATCCTCTCCAGAGTAACATTTACTTTAAATATTTCTCCATATAGATGGGAAGGCAAAGAGAATGAAAGGCTGAAGAGAACAAATGGAAATACCAGGGGGAAAGTATTTTACTTGTCTCTGGATGAAAATATGAATCTCTAAATAATTTAATGTAAATTAAAAAGAGCCTGTATTTCTTAACAAGTTAGTGTTTTATTTCTGTGAAAAAATAAAGTTTCTTCCTCAAATGATAACTGTGCCTGATTTCATTTGAATTCCAAACTATCCTAGTCATGTATCCAAAGTGGAATGATCAAATAAGGTTACCATTGTAAGTTAATAAGAAGGTTGTCTTATGTAAGTGACCAGATGATTCTGAAGTCCTCTTGGTAGCTGTCAAAATTAGAACTATCAGTAAAGACTATCAATAAAAAAAAAAACAAGTCCCCAAAATAGTTTTCAGTTATTTTTTTACCTGTAAAGGCTTCATAATTCTCTTCTTCCAATTTCTCAAAAATGTTTTGCTTCAATGGTTACTTATATTCTAACAATCTAATTTACATTTAATCAAAATTAGTCTCTCCTGGTTACTTCTAGGTATTAAGAGTATTGGAATTTCTTAGATCTAGGCAAGGGAAAATGAATGTTCTTAAAGTACAGCTGCACGTGAAGCTGGGCTCAAGTAAATGTTTGGGAACCATGATCCAAAGGAAGAGATGGGGTCTTTAAACAAGGTCTAGAAACAGGATGGTCATAGAAATGGACAGTTAGAGCCAGAAGTAAGTTTTGAGACCAAAAGCAGAGGGCAACCTGAAGAGTTATTCTGTGTATGTAGTAAGAATAAATATAAAATGCAAGGTGCATTTGTCTCCTTATGATCCAGAGGAAAAAAATAAGCCACAGCCCTTGTGGTTTGGCAGAGTCTGAAAGTGTTGGAAGATTAACCATTGTTCCACAATGTGAATGAGGCAGACCAGGAAAACATCTGGACAGAAGGTGGGGCTTCTTTATTCTGTATTAAGGGTAGCTTTGGAGCAATTTTGTGTAGGAGAGAGCGATCCTGAAAGAAAGAGCAGGAAGTACTATAGAGGTGAAGAGGAAGAAACATCGAGGCACTGAACTTGTGAACCACAGTATCTGGGGACATGAATGTAGAGACTTTAAGTTTCCTTTTTGTGCTAAAGAGGAAAATAGTAGCAAAATGATGCTCTATAATGTTTTAGGAATATAAGCATGCAGTGGAATTAAATGTCCATTTGGAATTTAAGATGGAATAGTTTGGTGAGAGAGGGCTTTAAGTAGGGAGAAACTTCTCTTGTAGGGACAAGTGCATGGAATACTGCATACATGACATATGTTAAAGGCATCTGAGTGGCAGGTCATTCCCCTTGTGCCTGGCATGATGTGAGTGGCAGGCTGCTTACCCTGAAGGCACAGCCCTGGATGTGAGGCCATGTGTTGCAGTTCTTGTGCTTGTTCCACGGCCCACTCTTCAATTGGTCGCTGCAAGGACAGTTAGCAGCAATTGCATTGGTGGCTGCCTGTAATCTGCTTAGCTACTGCCTTGGTAACTGCACAATAAAATTAAACCTGCTTCCTGCTTGGTCTCCGGAGGTCTTGATTAGTGACTCCACAGCCACACTCTCCTCTACCCTGTTCTGTGGACCTTCTCGCTGGACGAGAGAGAGCCCGCGCCTTCTCTTTTATCTGGGAGGGGACTTTCCCTAATTTTGTGGGTCCTCTCATCTTTCTCTACCACTCTTAAGGATGATGGGACTTATCACCTGACCATATTTTAGAGGCTACTCAGGAGTTTTGAAATTTTACAAAATTTAACATTAAACTAATTATATAGCTCAGTCAAAGTCACTAAACTCCTTCTAAAAATAGTGCTAAGGGACATAGTAGATAAAACATAAGAATGGCGCAAGGTAGCATATCATCCTAAAACAGCTAAAGCTGTGGAAACAGCTTAAGCATCAATGCCTCAGCCTGTGAGATTTGGGTGGATAGACCAGGTTGTTGTGTTAAAAAGTGATTGTTTCTAATAGAAGTTCTTTGTGCAAACTTGTCCAACCTCTACCTGAATAAAATAGCAAGAGGGGTTGTACTGGATGATACATAAGCTAATATCTTTTTTAGAAGGACAATTTTAAGGATTATCATGTTACTTCCTCATAGAAAAAGGTAGGCTCACAATAAGATAATAATGAAAAAAATTGATGGAGGGAACCAAGTGAGCTCCAATACTTCAGAGATGAGTTGATGAATAATCATCTTTTAAGATATAGCTCAATCTGATGCTAAAGTATAAGATGGCAAGGCTGGTCAAAGTCCTCAGGGTATCCCTAAAAGTCATGGGAAATTGAAAGCCTTCAAGGCTCATCCCTAATATATTAGTCTCTGACCAGTTTATGGAGGGTATTAGATTAAACAGATCTCATTAGTTGCAAACCATTGTAAGATTTTTCTCTGGTGTTGAAGAAAATTCAGGACACTGAGGCCAACCATGTCATAGAAATAGGATTAAGGTTGTTATTATGGTGTAAACTTCAACCTATTTCCTTCCTCAACACAATTCAAATACAAGCTGTTTCAGAATTCAGGACACAAATTATGTGAATGAAATTGCAAAAGGAGATTGCAGAAATGGGCAGAGATCAGAAGTCTACTAATGAATTAAAGATCTGTACTAAAAATAATATTTAAATATACATTTTTTCTAAAACAAGTGGTGTTTTTTTGTACATTCCATGATAATGCCTGCTGAGATTTTAATAATGCAAGTAAACATGTGTCTAAGCCTCTGAGCTCATTTGTCTTCCATTTGTTGGTGTGGTTTGAAAGTAATTTACTTATAAATGGACCACTACAATTTAAATAAGTATACCAAGATAAATGCATTTATGGGACTCAGAATATATGAGATTTTATTATGCCAGGTAGATAGTATTAGATTTAATGTGGATTGTTAAATCCCATGACTGAAAAGGACAAGAAGAAAAAGTAATTCATCTGCATGATAGGACTTCACACACTTCAAATGCATATCACATATAGTTAGACAACATCGGAAGATAGCAATTTATGTATTTTTTTCTGTACTTCTTTACGCATGTTCTTCTCTCATTTCCCAGAATCACATCTCCTCCTGACAATTTAGTTTAAGTAAGGGAGTGAATAAATAGAAACAACAAAACAAATCAAAAACAAACAAACAAACAAAAATCCAGCCAGAAACAATGTTCAGCCTTTTAAATTTTCATTGTAGACTTTTTGGAGTCAAGGTCATAAAAGAATCTGAACAGAGAATTTAGAGAATAATTATTGATTAAAATGTTAACAGAAGAGAGCTATTTATCTTTTCCATTTCTGTAGAGGCTGCATAACAGTTAACCATCTTGGGAAGGGAAAAGGAAGAGAAACTGGGCACAGTTGTAGAGAGGAACAGAACTGGGGAAGCCAAGGGGCTGGGGGTAGTCAATAGAGGGAGACTGCTGAGGAATACAGGGCAGGATCAGGGTCAGCCACCCCATACCCAAACTAATAGTAAATTATCTTGCTTGAAATGATCCTGAATATGGCCAGTTTTCACTACTTTCATCATTGTCACTCTGGTGGGCATCTACTACTTTTATCTCTCAACTGATATTGCAATACGCTTGTAACACTCCCGTCCTTTCTTCTCATGATCTATTTTCTCCACAGAGCAGCCACAGTGTCCATTGCTATTATTTCCCTCCAAACCTACTCTGCTCAAATCAAAATGATTTACTTCCTGCAATATCCTGCCATCCATGGGCATTCAGACTCGCCTTTCTGTCTGTGAAGCTCTTCCCCTAGATATTTCCATGGTCCTCACATTTACTCCATTCAGCACTCTTCTCCTATTCCCTCTCCTCACTCTTGTTTCCTTTTTTCTCCATAGCAATTGTACTTAGATAACATTTGTTTGCTGACTGCCTGTTTCCCAGAGAAGAATCTAGCTTCTTGAAAGCAAGAACTTTATTGGCATCTGCAGTTGGCATTTAATAAGTATTTATTGAAAGACAGATTCACAGCTGGGAATACAACTAATAGCTTACTTTGCAAATTGAAGATATTGGAGTTAACAGTGACTTCTGGGACGGGGTTTCTACTCAAGTGGAAGGATGGAGATCTCTTAGATCACATTTTTTACTTTGTTTTCATATTAATGGAGTACATTTAAAATATTTATTTATGGATGCCATTGCCTTTAAACTCTGGCCAAGAAGTTTGATTGTATTAAAATATTCCTTACAATACAGAGAAACAAGGTAATATGTTGTTTGAAGAGTGTGGAGTTTTTTTAAAATTTTTTTAAAGCTATAGTAATGTATAACTGACATGCACCAAATTGCACACCTTAAGAATGTAAAATTAAATGTTTTGACAAATGTAAATTCATTATACCTCTGTTCAAATCTTGACCATGAAATTTATTAACTGGATGATCTTTAGCTAATCATTTAACTCTCAGGTTCTGTTTATTTACTTGAAAACTGGCAACAACATTGGTTATCTTACTCATAGGTTATTGAAATATAAGTAAGATATATGCAAAGTGCCTGGCAAATAAGAAATATCTAACAACTTATGGTATTTTTAAAACTAAGTAAATAATATCCACAAGCTGATTAAAATATAAAATATATATTTTTGATATTGCTATTCTTTTTGGTAGGGTGAAGACCTTATATGCCTTTCTGGGCAAAAGTAAATATACCAGTCAGATATAAAGCAACGGAGGATCTGTATGGACAACAGGGAGCTGTAGAGTGGCTGCCCAACAATGTAAAGAATATACATTTGAATTTTTTAAAAAGGTATTTAAAAGGGATATGTGACAGATTTGTGATGGTCAGCAATGTGAAGTAAATGTGAAATATACAGGTTTTGGTTTATGCCTTACAAATCTGTTATGGGGAGGAAGATGAATTGGAGGGGACAAGCAGAAAAGCAGAGGACTGAATCAGGAGACTATTGTAGTAATCTATAGGAGGAAGTATGCTAGTTTGGAATAAAATTGATAGCAGAGATCAAGAGAAGTGGATGAATTTGAGATGTAGTTTGGAGGTAGAACAGTTGGCTTTTTTTTTTTTTTACAAGTCCCTATGCAGAAACAAGTTGAATTTCCTTTTAAAAAATTCTTAGGTCAGTGAACATATATGTTTCCCGATCTCTTACATCAATATCTAGGTTCTTCCTAATATTAGTTTTAGCTAAATTTACT